CCCACATTTCAGACTCCACAGGGCGAAATACTCTCCCCAAGCTGCACTCTCTGGGGACGATCCTCCAAGAAGGAACAGAACCAGGCCAGAGCCAAGCCACTGATGGCCAACTCAGAGAGCCTCCCCAGGAGGATACCGTGGTCGACGGTATCGAAGGCCGCCGAGATGTCGAGGAGGACCAACAAAGATATTTTACCCCTGTTGGCCTCCTCAACAAGTCATCGTACAGGGTGACCAATGCTGTCTCTGTGCCGTGGCATGGCCTGAAGCCCGACTGAAATGGATCCAGGGCATCTGTTTCATCCAGATGTGCCTGAAGCTGGTCAGCAACCCCCCTCTCGACCACTTTGCTCATGAAAGAAACATAGGCGACGGGCCTGTAATTGCCAATTTCGTCCGCCGCCATATTAGGTTTCTTCCTTATGGGCCTAATGAGTGTCTCCTTGAGGGCAGAGGGAAACCTGCCCTCAAGGAATGACCCATTTATTATTGCAGTGGCCCATTCTGTTATCGGCCTCGCTGCTTTGATTAGCCAGGCCGGGCAAGGGTCCAAGGAGGAGGTGGTGGCTCGACAGCACTGTGGCCACAGAATCAGGTGTGACAGTCTGAAAGGAGTCAAGGGTTACCGGGCAAGATGGAGCGCTAGACATCTCTGCATGACTCACTGTGTTCAAAAAACGAGAGAGGTCCCGTCGGATGGCCTCCACTTTAGATTTTTAAAAGGCTGCAAACTGGTCATGTGAAAAACTAGGGGGAGGCCTATCATCCAGACCAGTTCCGGATAGGTCACGCGGTATACGGAATAACTCCGCCTGCTGGTTGGATGCTTCGCTTATCCGGTTAGCGAAGTAAGTTCGACAAGCAGCCTTTACCTTAGACAGGTAAAGGTTAGTTGCGACCCTGACAGCTATCCTATTATAATCCGTCGGGTTCTTCCTCCACCTACACTCTAGCCTTCTATGTCGCTTCAGCGCTCGAAGCTCCTGGTTAAACCAGGATGCTGGCCGAGCTCTACGATGGAGAGGGCGTTTAGGCGCGATCGTGTCTATAGCCCTGGTTGCGAAGGTAGACCAGCTATCAACCAGAGCGTCGACAGGAGCGCTAGCCAGGTCTGCCGTGACCCCTCTCATGACATCCTGGAATCCAGCAGGATCCAGTAGCCTTCGAGGGCGGACCATAGATATAGGTCCATGTTCCCTGCGAGGGGGGAGAGCCACTGTGAGGTTACATTTTATCTGACCATGACAAGGGGACCGACATGAGGTCAGTCACCATCAGACCACACTCACTCCAACTGGTGGAAAAAACCAGGTATAATGTGTGGCCACCCACGTGGGTGTGACTGTTGACATGTTGGGACATGTTCAAGGAAGCCATGGTTTCCATGAAATCAAGAGCTGCCCCCGCATGTACGTTGAAATCGCCCAAGACCAAAAGCCTTGGGGATCCCAATAATGCCACGGAGACAAAGTCGGCCAGCTCCGGAAGGGAAGTGGCTGGGTCGCGGGGAGCACGGTAACACAGCAAAATCCCAATACTATCCCTGGCCCCGATTGACATGTGGAGTACCTCTAGACCTGGCTTTACGACCGAGGAGCGCCTAGTAACCTGTAAGCTGGATTTATAAACAATGGCTACTCCCCCCTGCCCCTCCAGTCTATCCTGGTGTTGGACGGCATAACCAGGTGGGCAGACAAGTGCCAAGGGAGGACTAGCCTCCCCGGTAATCCACGTCTCGGTTATGCATGCCAGGTCTGCATCCTCCTCCAGGATAAGGTCGTGAATTACCTGGGAGTAATGTATGTATGTGTATCTTTCAACCAATAATTTCTATTATTCAGCAAGTAGCTTTCTAATTTTTTATTATACTTATCAGCTCCATGTATAAACCGGGAATCCCAAATTGCTTACAGTATTATAACCTGGATTAATCTCTTGCACCCTTTTTACCAGTTTTAAAATGCCATCTGTAGAATCTCTTTAAACCATTTTCTCTCTGATTTACTGATTTTATCCCACTATAATTAACAGTTCGCCTTCAAAGCCAATCATATATGTTTAAACTGTAACCAGAATTTTTCACCCCATCCAACCTCATCTTCACATCTCCCTCCTGTAAATTCTCTTCCCTCAAACTAGTATAATTTTTTTAGTACTCTTCCCCTTAATATGCCTCATCTTATCCACCTGACCCTCCTCATATACCGTATTTCCATAAGACGCACCGGACATTAAGACGCAGTTAATTTTTAGAGGAGGAACACAGGGAAAATATATTCTGAACCAAATAGTGTAATAAAATATTTAATAAACTATAACAGAATAACATTTGAACCATGTAAAGTGAACAGCAGTCAACAGTGGCATTAATATAGACCATTATCAGCCAGTGATAAGACCTATACC